TGGCAGCCCACCCATGGAGGTCTGAGGGCACTGCAGCCATTTTTGCAGCAGGGTGATGGCTGCCCCATGCATTGGTGAGGAGTGGGAAGGAAAAAGGTGGCAAAGGTCCCTGGCAGGGCTCAGACATCAAGTCCAATGCCCCTGGAGAACTGAGGATGAGTGCTCCAGAAGTGACACCAAGCTGGGCACTGTGTGGACATCAGCTGGACTAGATGTCCCCTGCAAGGGTTTTGCTGCGACCCAACTGCCCCACAAGGCACAGTCCCAGGCGGTGGGACCAAGCCCCTTCTGATGCACCATGGGATGTGGTGGAGTGAGTCCTCTCTCCAATAGGCTCTGTGTGTGGGTTTCAATGCTCCCTTAAAGCTGGGCTGCTTTATTTATAACTTCCCCTAAGGAGTAATTTCTTGGCTCTCTTACCCTCATGTCAGCGACAGGGGGTGATGGGGCTGACCTCAGCCCTTTCCCAACACAGTATTAGCTAAGCTGGGTCCCCAGAGATGTGCCAGCCCAAGCCCATGCCAGCTCCCTTGAATTTCCACATGGCCATGACTTCACCACTGTCAGCCTGCTGCAGGGCAAGGTGAGAAGACAGGGAGCAGATGCTTGCTGCTGAGGTTAGAAACACTTCTAAGAGTTTCAAGTGGGGTTTGCTCTGGAGCAAAGTGTTCTTGAAGTCACTTGCTTGGGGAAAAGCATTCGCAAAAGCGAGGCTGCAGCAAAACTCCTAGGAAATGAAATCACTGCTAAAGCAACACAAAGGGAGAATGCTTTGGTGCTGCACCTCTATTCTGGTTGTCTGTCCTGCCAGCAAAGCCCCTTCTCCTCCAAGCTACTGCTGGTGAGTTCATAGAATCATAGGACAGTTTGGGTTGGAAGGGACCTTCAAAGGTCATCTAGTTTCAACCCCCCTGCCACAGGCAGAGACCCCTTCAAGTAGAACAGGTTGCCCAGAATCACATCCAGCCTGGCCTTGATGTCTCCAGGGATGGCACATTCATTACCTCTCTGGGCAACCTGTGCCAGTATTTTACCACCTTCAAAATAAACTATTGTTTCCTCACGTCCAGCCTGAATCTCCCCCTCCTAGTTTTAAACCATTATCCCTCCTCCTATCACAACAGACCGTGCTAGAAATTCAATCCCATCTTATATGGACCCCTTTCAAGAACTGAAAGGTCACAATAAGGTCTCCTGCCCCAGCTATGCCACACTCCATGTGCCGTGTGCAATGGTGTTTCCAACTTCTGCTCCCAAAAGGAAGAGCTTTGGCAGGGAAAAAGCTGCCTGGGCAGAGAACTGTTTTCCTGGCTGGGATCTGGGTGCTCTGAGCTGCACACATTGGAAATGCAGAGGTAGGAAAGGCAGGTGCTGCCTGCTGCCGCGCTGAGCCAGAAAAGCCGGGCTGGGCAGGTTCCTTTTCTTGTGCCCAGATGGGAAGACCAAGCTGGTGGCTGGAGCTGTATGAGGGCTGGGGTCATTGAAGGCTGTGGAGGTACGTGGGGCCGCCTTCCCCTGCAGCCACGCCAGCTTTGGTCATAGGAGGCTTGAGAAGCAGCATGCCTGGGTGCTGATCCAGTTGCCTGCTTGTGGATACTGAGCACCCCTGCAAGTGCCTGTGGCCAGCAGAACCAAAGCTGTGCTCCTCCAAAACCGGCATGATCTTGGTGGTGGTGGTGGGATACACAACCCCTGGGACCACTTGTCCAAGCAGCTTGGCTTGGGGTTCTGTGAGAGCTGGCCTTCTCATGGATTGGAAATACTATAAGAGCAGCCCTTTTTCTGGTTTGCTTTATTTTTTTTCCCCTGGTGTTTGTGTCTTTCCACTTCCGTCTCTGGCCAAGGCGAGTGGTGCCAAGGCACAAGGGCCAGGCACACCCAGAGGGAGAGAGAGGGAAGCCAAGCACCCACAACATGCAGGAAAACGGGAACAGAAAGCAAACACGGCAGCTCAGAGTGAAGAGGATTTGTTTTCTGGATCCAGCCAAGGGATGGCTTTCCTCAGGAACTCCATGGACTCAAAGTGGATATCGTTGCTCCAGTCCAGCACCCTGTCGTCCGCTCTTGCACTGATGCTGGTTTGTCACAGGAGAATCTGCACATGGGGTGCACACAGGGCTCAACACCCTCCCGCTTTCCAGCCATGTGGTCAGGTCTCCTTGGCCCCACTTTGAGCAGCAATATGGGCTCAAGCTGCACAACTTGAAAAGGCTCAAGCTCTCAAAAAGCAATGTGGGATCAAAGCTTTCTAAACATTCAGGCATTTGGCCCAGGAGGTTTTGTTCCGACTATTTATAGCAGTTGGGGCCAAGCAAGTTCAGAGTTGGAGGCAAACTTTTCCAAAGCTGGGGGCAATTTGGATTAGGGAGGGGGAAAGGGAGTTCAGCCAGGCCTGTTTCCAGCAAACGTTGACTCCTTCCCTTAAGTATGTGTTGCTATCCATGACACACTAACAACAGCTCTGCACAGAAGTTCCTGGCTGGGGCTGTAAAGATTGAAACAAAAATGTGACTCGGCTGGAAAGGAGAACATGAAATAGAGGAAGTTGCCAAACAGCAAAGCTGTAGCATTTGAAAGTGAAAACTTTCCTTACCAGCTTGTTTTCATCTTCTGGTCAATGTCCTTCAATTGCAAACACATTCATATTGTTTTCAAGGGGAGAGCTGGTGATGACTTTACAGCAGAAAAACCAAGATATGGCTTCCTGAAGCATATTCCATGCTTAGAAATGGAGAGGAGGGGTCTATTTATCTTCAAGGTGAGGATTTTTTATGCTTTCACTAAAGAACATGCCCTTTTTCTGCACTACCCTCTGTAGGCAAAGCCAGGCTTAAAATCTGAGCAAACCAACCAACCACGACACCCTTGAAATCATGTCACATTTGAAGCTACAGCCATTGCAGAGCATGACAGCAGAAGCTGGGGTTTTTCTGTCTGCCAAGAGAATTGTGCTAATGGTGATGTTTAATCATGAGGAGCATGAGCAGCATGCTTTAGTTACACACATCTTTTTGCATGCCTAGATCTACTCTCTTGATTTCAGGCACCCAGTGTAGGTTATAAAAGTATCCCTCTGATTACCAGTAGCTTCCCTGGCTCTGTAGGAATAGCATCTCTGAGCTTACTGCTCCCCAGAAGAAGTGGGTCCAGCCCAGGTAGGCTGTTACAGGGAGTGACACTATGCTCTTCCCTAGCAAGGGCGGTTTGGATTTTCTGCATGCTGCTCCATGCTATTGGAGCTGGCTGCTGCATCAACAAACACAGCCCAAGTCTACCACATGTGTGCCTTGGGTTCTTTTTGGAGAGAGAGATGCCATAGCTGGAAGATTTCCTTTCATGGCCGACATTCCCACCAAAGCCTATCCTCTGATGCAGAGGGTGCCCATCCTTGCTGTGAACAGTTGGACTGCACTAGAGAAGCCAAATTGTTCCACTTCAGGAAAAACTGCAAGATCTCAAATGGATTTTGAAGAATAAAATTATCTGTATGTGGTTGGACAGTGGGATGCGAGTGGGTCTGGGCTGACTACACATCAGGGGTCCCTGGCTGGTGTTGAAAGGGGATGCGTTAGGCAGAAGGGAAGGCTTCCTCTGAAGCTACCCAGATATCAGCCTCAGGGCTTGTCTTGTTTCATATGTCTGTGAATGACCCAAAAAAGTAGAAGAGCAACATTCAGATGTGTGAATGAGGCAGAGCTGAGGGGGTATCAACAGTATAAGAAGTTATCTTGTAGGGAGTTGTGGCTACCCCATCCCCAGAAGTGTTCAAGGCCAGGCTGCATGGGGCTTTCTGCAGCCTGGTCTAGTGGAAAGCGTCCCTGCCTGTGGCAGGGGGGTTGGAACTAGATGATCTCTAAGGCCCCTTCCAACACAAACAGTTCTATGATTCTATGATTATAGGTGTCCTAAAAATATAATTGAATGACCTGGAAGACAAACAAAAACAGCAATATGAAGCTCAGCAGTACAAAACACAAAGTCTTTGAGCTTGAGGAGCAACAACATAAGATAGGACTTCACATTTTCTAGAGGTAACAGAGAAGGGCTTCCAACTATCCACTGGTATCACACTGCCTGTGAGCCACTGTGATAATGCTCATGCAAACAGCAGATGCACCCTCTGTGGACTCTCATGACAAGGCCTCTCTATTGACCTTAAAACGCTCACAGCAAGAGCCACCAAGACATTCGCTGGAACAGCAGGTACAAATCTTATCATCCTTTCCCTAGAAAAAGGTAGAATAGAGCAAGTGCAAAGAAAATCAGTTGTCTGGGTTGCTGCAAGGGTAAAATAGGTGTGAGGGTCAGATGTGGTTGTTCTTCTCCCACCTTGTTTTTTCAACATGGGAGAGACAGGCTCTGAGCCCAGTTTCCACCCCTAGCCAGCAGAAGAAAATGTTCTTCTCATTTTTGCCTCCTAATGATAATGATGACCATTTACCTCTTGTTTTGTACATGTCCTTAATATGAAAATCCATTCTTGTGCTTGGTGCTAATGTTCCCAATTCTTGGTTTGGAAAGGGTACGCTGGCCAACTGGACAGTCATGCGGTTCTCTGAGATGCTGTCTGTTTTGCAATTAACAGACAAAATGCCTACCACTGTGGTTGGAAAGAAGCTTTAATTAAAATCCTTTGGTATTGGCCTTGGCCAGACTGTGGAGTGAATGGGAAGAGGCCAAAAGGCCTGGGTCAGTGTCTTGGGTCACCCTAGGAGAGTGCCCACTTAGCTGAGACTGAACACAAGGAAGAACTTGGTTTATAATTGCACTGGCTTTTTTTTTTATTTTTCCCCTCAAGTGACCTGCCCAATGGATGATTATAAGCTGACAGGAGCGCAGATACTAGCAGCCAAAAGTTGGGATAGGTTCAGAGGTCGTTTTAATCCTAATGAGGTGCCATGAATAAAAGCTCACATCACACAAATAAAAACCACCTCACTGTCTTCTCTAATGAGTGTGGCTCTTCAGATGCTTTGTCTTGGGCTTTGCTTGACTTTAAGAGCTGCCCAGGGCTGCATCTTCCAGGCTGGACTCCAAGCTGCTGTCATATACGCCATCTTCTCTCAGATGGCCACCAGTAAGGTACCTCACTCTGCTGGGTGCCCAAGGCAGACCTGCAGCAGCCCTGCGTGTTTATGATGGTGGCACGGGTAAGCAAAGTCCTTGGAGGGTGAGAAACCCCCTTGCAGGGATGTGTTGGGCCCTGGTCAGCCTCACCTGAGTGGAAGTTGCCCTCCATGTGCTTGTCTGTGATGTGCTGGGCTCTGGACAAATAGGCATGTTGTTTAGTGTGTAGTGTTGTCCACCAATGCTGTAACTGCAGGTGCTACTCTAATGAGCAAGTGCCTGCTCCTCCCCATGTCAAAGTGCATTAATTAATGCAGAAGTCACTAAGCACCAGGAAGCTGGAACCAGGGTAGGTTACACTGTCCTTCACATGGAGCGAGTCCTGCTAGCTTTCCTGGTAGCCAGCACTGTGGGCCTATTTATATTCCCTCTGCTCAGGACACAGTGATGGACTTTCTTGTTTGCAAGCTAATGAGCAAGCAAAATTAAGAAATCTTAAAAGCTGAATGGTCACTAGCTGCAGAACTTGTTCAAGGCCAGGTTGGACAAAGCCTTGGGTGACGTGCCCATGGCAGGGGGGTTGGAACTAGATGATCTTAAGGTCCCTTTCAACCCTAACTATTCTATAGGATGCTACCAGCCCATGTTTACTCTTAACAAGGTACCAGGGCCCTGAATCCATGGAGATGTTTTTCAAAGCATTATTCAAAAATCTCTTTTATTTTTTCTAAGATTATTAAGGTAACTTTTGGGGGCCCTTGGTTCTATGCAGTAAGCCTTGACTTCTGCACCTTTCCCTCAGCGCAGCACAGACTGTCCAGAGGTACCCCAGACCCTCGTGCAGGAGGATGGAGTGGGCATCTGGCACAGGGAGCTGAGAAAAGGTTTTAGTTTTTCTGTCTCTGCCCTAGAGAAGTAAATTGGCTTTCACATGTTTTACAGTTAAAAAAAAAAAAAATATCCTTTCCTGCTGCCATTTAAGGTGTTGTCTCCTGCTTTCAGGTCTAATCTTGTGCTGTCAAGCTGTGTGGGAGCACTGAGCAGCTTTGGAGTTTTTTAGCCTGTGCTGGTGATGGAGGACACGTCGTCCAGGTGACTCCAGGCTCTTCAGCTCAGATACACTTGCATATAGCTAGGTAAGTGTAGGTGCTTACTGTGACCGTCTGGCACCCATCCTGCAGGCAAGAAGGGAGAGGGGGAAGCTCGAGTAGCTGGCAGTGGGAAATGGTTGCCACAGTGATGAAGTACAGGGGTGGTTCCAGGGGCTGGTCATCAGTGGGCTTTGGGGCTGGGTGAAACATCCTTCAGGAATCAGTTTAGCCCTGTGCTGGGCCAGCCACCTATGCAAACCCAGCTTTTGGGATAAAATTAGCATTCTGAGGCAGTGGCAGGGGATTTTTTTTACTGTTCCCCAAGAAAAATGCCATTTTTAATGCCCAAGTGTAGCAGACAAAAGGGTTGGTGGTGTTTTTCCCTTTCCTTTCAATTCCCTTTCTGCATGGTGACATTTTCTACTTCCAAAACCTGTTCTTTTTTTTTTTCCCCAAAACCTGTTCTTTTTTTTCCCCCTCTTCTTTTTCCCCCTCTTATTTCCCTCCCCCCCCCCCCCCCCAATAACCCTCTGGGGCATGGCCCCATCCGATTTCCCGGGGTCCCCAATTCTGGCAGGGTGCCGAGGAAGTGCCAAAGCACAGAGGGGCAATGCCAGCACTTCCTGCTCCCTCGCTGGCAGCACAATGGGGACATTCAGGCGGGCACCACGCAGCCCAGCACCAACCCAGAGCTAGAGACCTCCCCCTGCCTCGCCATCCCCATCCCCCTTATTGCTCTCTCCCAAATAGCAGTGTGAGACACAAAGCAGCTGACGCCGTGTCCCAGCGCGCCGGCGGAGGCGAATTGGAATCCAGCATCACAAAACAAGCCCTGTGCATGTTCCCCTCCTGACGCAGGCGCGTGTGTGTGTCCTCCTCCCTCTATCCCCCCTAATTCTCCAAGTCTGCCCGGTAACACCAAACTGGGCTCCCTTTCCCACCCCCCCACCCAATCCGCGCACTGCCAATAGCCCAGGGCCTCTGCTGCTGAGCTGCGAGGAGCTGGTGGAGCTGCAGGGAACGGCATGTTTTCCTTCTCCCTTTCTTCCTCCGGAGTCGCTTGTTTTTTAATTCAGGGCTGGCAGGGAGGCGTGGGTCAGGGCTTGGAGGCAGCCCCCCTCCTCTCCCAGTAACACAGCCTACCCGAAAAAAATCCGATGAGATTTCACTGTTGCTCAAGGGAGCCTTGTTTTCAATCACAGGCAGATCAGCGTGTTTTTTTAGGGGTGGGACGAAGCAAGAGGGGCACAGCAAGGAAAGCAGGGTTTCCTTCTCCCTGGGTCCACCCAGACCTTTTCAGGCTTTCCTGCCTGCTCCAGGGTGGGCTTTTTCCCTTCTCAGCTGTGCTTTGCTGGGTTTTCACGTCTCTGACTGTGCTTGCAGCAGTTGCCGTGTTTGCAGAAGGTGAGGCAGGGCTGGTGTAAATCCAGAGGTCCTGGAATGCTGGCTGCAGGTTGGGCTTCGGCTTCCTGCCCTCTGAAACTCCCTAGGAAGCAGTTAGGGTAGATGCAGGGATGAAAATGAAATATGCTGGGTTTCAGGGGGTTTAATTGGTGGTGGATGTCAGCTGCCTTGCACAGGCGCTGCCAGTCCCTGTGCCTCCTCCCTGCATAAAGAGCTTTTGCAGGTCCCTTGGGCTGAGCAGCCACAGGGCATGAGTTGATGATTCCTGGGTTCAAAATAATAAACCCATTTGGTCCTTTCTGGCATGTTCACAACACCTCAGGATGAGTTTGCCAAGGTGTGAGCCATGCTTAGAGCACAGAGGTATCAGGGATATCCAGTGCCCATGCCTAATGTAAGGGATGGGTGTTTGGACCCAGGCCTGGCAGGGCAGGCAGGATAACATGTCCTGTGTTGCAGGCTCAGATGCACAGTTGTGCTGCGATGCAACAGGGCCTGATGAAAGGTGGAAGCAGGCACCTCCAGAGGAGTGTCATGCTCCCCTGGTCATTTTGGGTGCTGTGTCATAGCACTGGCTGAAGGGAGGATGGAATAAACATCTTCCTCGCTCCAGGTGCCCCAAATGGCTATGGAGAAAATAGAGTGCTGCAAGCTGGTGCCCTGGGCTGCAAATGAGGAGGAGGCATGCCAGATCCTGCAGGCACTGTGTGCAGTCATTGAGTAAACTGCAGGAACAGAGATTGGGCAGACTGTAGACAGCCAGGGGTATGGCAGGATAAATTGGGCCAATCTTTGGGGGTGTCTGGGAAGGCAGGGGAGGGCACCATGTCCGTGTGCGTGCTGGTGGGGCTCCACCCCAGGGAGAGGCTGAGCCCAGGGCTTCTTGCACAAACTGTTTGTGTAGGGTGAGGAAAGCCGGGGCCTGGGGGCATGGAGCAGCTCAGGACGTCCTGTGGCACCCGTCCTGCAACAGCTGCTGGAGCTGGGCAGGGACCATGCTGCAGCTGCCTGAAGGAAACATGGATTATAGCTCCCAGGGGACGAGGGCATTACTGGGCAAGCAGGGTCAGCTCAGCTCTGTAGGATCTTCCTTCCAGAGACATGGACAGGCAGCACAGGCATGGGCTGTGTCAATAAATGTTTTTTCTTCATAAGACTTCAGGATCTTTTTCTCCTGTGCCCTGCTTCCCTCCTCTGTTTCTCAGCATCTGCCCTTCTCATTGACTCCACTAAATTATGTCAGGTCATAGAATCATAGAATAGTTAGGGTTGGAAAGGACTTTTAGATCATGTAGTTCCAACCCCCCTGCCATGAGCAGGGACACCTCACACTAAACCATATCACCCAAGGTTCTGTCCAACCTGGCTTTGAACACTGCCAGGGATGGAGCATTCACAACCTCCCTGGGCAACCCATTCCAGTGCCTCACCACCCTAACAGGAAAGAATTTCCTCCTTATATCCAATCTAAACTTCCCCTGTTTAAGTTTTAACCCGTTACCCCTTGTCCTATCACTACAGTCCCTAATGAAGAGTCCCTCTCCAGCATCCCTATAGGCCCCCTTCAGATACTGGAAGGCTGCTATGAGGTCTCCACGCAGCCTTCTCTTCTCCAGGCTGAACAGCCCCAACTTCCTCAGCCTCTCTTCATACGTGAGGTGCTCCACTCCCCTGATCATCCTCGTGGCCCTTCTCTGGACTTGTTCCAACAGTTCCATGTCCTTTTTATGTTGAGGACACCAGAACTGCACACAATACTCCAGGTGAGGTCTCACGAGAGCAGAGTAGAGGGGTAGGATCACCTCTTTCAACCTGCTGGTCACGCTCCTTTTGATGCAGCCCAGGATACAGTTGGCTTTCTGGGCTGCAAGCGCATGCTGCTGGCTCATGTTCATTTTCTCATCAACCAGGACCTCCAAGTCCTTCTCTGCAGGGCTGCTCTGAATCTCTTCTCTGCCCAACCTGTAGCTGTGCCTGGGATTGCTCCGACCCAGGTGTAGGACCTTGCACTTGGCATGGTTAAACCTCATGAGGTTGGCATCAGCCCACCTCACAAGCGTGTCAAGGTCCCTCTGGATGGCATTCCTTCCCTCCAGCGTATCAACAGAACCACACAGATTGGTGTCATTGGCAAATACAGAATATCTGGCCTGAAAAGCACACATCTTGCAAGAATAACCAGCACCACCATCACTTCCTGGCCTTGCGTGCCTCCAGCACACAGCCAGGTGTGAAGAGGAAGAGCCCTGGAAGATCCCAAACCCCAAGCTTTAACCTTTATAGCCCTTCTGAATTATACCCTTGGAGATAATCCCCACAAGGTAACAGAAGAGCAGCCAGGGCCCCACCAGTGAGGACACGTTGGAAAGTGAAGTCAGGTAAAGTCAGATGCAGTCTTCAGGTAGACTTGACTGTAGCCAGGATAGAGGTTCATTCAGCAAACTCATTGCTCTGTTCACCCATGGGTGCAGAGCCAGGAAGAGGGCAGGTGCTGGTTTCCCCTGAGCTGGTTATGGTATTCACTGGACAAACTGGTCCTCCTGGTCACCTGCTCATTGAGATTCTTACTGAGTGATAAATAGGATGCAGGTACAATATATAGGATAGCCTGTATGGTATCATGGCATAGGATACAGACATAGCCTACAGCTTGCTGTGGAAAACAAAGTAACAGCTCAAGACCTGAATTTCATATTGGATGTTGGAAGAGCTGCAGTGTTAGGAAATGGGCTGGGTTTGTCCAAGTCCAAAGAAAAGAGAGGGGAGGAGTTTCATTCCATCCCAAACCATAAGCCCAGTCATATCCCTCCCCATCTTAGGTTCAGGTTAGGGATGTGGTAGGGCTTAGTAGTAGGATGAGGGTCTCTCTCTACTGGGCAGCCCCACATCCATGAGGCAATTGGGGTAGGGCTTGAGCTCAGCCTTTTGTTACAGGAGGACTGGCAAGGGGGACTCACCCAGTTTTTCATCAAGTTTATGGGATGGAAAACATGTTCAGGAGGGTGTTCACTATGTCACGGCCCTGGAGTTATGATAATCCTCCCCACTGCCAGTGATTTGAGCTATACCTATTGCAGGGCAGCAGCCTTGTGGCAGGGCCTGCCGTGCTGGGTCAAAGCATCAAGGGAAACCTTCCCATTGGTTTTCAAATCTCAGAGATTTCCCTCGCAGAGCAATTCAGTTTTCTTTGGAGCAAAGATAATCTTCCCCTCCTCCACCACTGCTGAATACTCTGGCATTGCACCAAATAGCAAAGTCAACATAAAATATACCCTTGATTCCTGGGCCTTCTCTCCCAGTCATCCTCCAGCAAAGAGGAGTGATATAGCATCTGCTCTTCTAGCCACAGCCTTCTTCCAGGACCGAGTCTTTGCGTCTCTTCAGAGGGGGTGCCAAGAGCTTTGAAATCCATTCAAGGCATAAAGCAAGGCAGCAGCAAGGAGCAAGCAATACTGCCTGTATTGAGCCCTGCCCGCTGCCAGTAGTGCCTTGAAGGGTCTTTGGGTTGCTCAGGCTTTTAAAGGGCAGCACTGAGGCCATCACCATCCTGCAGTGTTGCACAACCTATTCAGTGCACATGGGGAAAGAGCCACTCACACCTCTTCCCTTTCAAAGAAAGGTTGGAATAAGGCTGTCAGTTC